AAGGGCTTGTAATTTGCATGCTCCTGTCATTAAGCGCAAAGTTTTGTTGCTGTTGCTTGTGTCACAGGATCAATTAAATATGTCCCTCTCCGTCATATTGCACAAAGTGACCTTATTACGTCGCAAGCCTTACATATGAATCGCATCGAGCATTTTTGTGTCCACATTTACAAAGGGACCTGAATTTCATTTCACTCTTCATCTACTCTCTTTGGTAACGTCAAATGAGTGAGTAACATCAATCAAGTGAGTAACATCAAATCTAAGTGTGAAACACTGGTGAGAGAAGGCAAACACGCCCATTTGCCCAGGATGGTTAAATCTTGACTATTGCTCACCTAGCACCTCTAAACAAGGGAGTTTTTAAAACTAATCATAAGTTTATTATTTAAAGAACCTGTTGCTGACACCATTGAACTGTGTTGTGGCTAAATCTTTTAATTAGGTAATAATAAATTCAGGTTGCTGGGATAGAAATTAAACTACAGTCATAGCAGTAACCTCCAGAAGTGGACAAAATGTTGTACATATGTTTTAAAATCATAACAGGTTCATCTAATGCATATCTAACTCAAAGCCAGCAAAGGTCAGCACACCTCGTTCTCAGGAAACAGCACTTTCTCCAAGACAGGTTTGGGATGGAGAACATGTTCCAGCTGCTGATGAGGACTACCAGAAGGTTCCCATCTATCTGAGTGCAAGGATGGATTTGACTTTTTTAAATTTGTCTCCTCTCTGCAGCATTTATATTTATAAACATAAAAAGAAATCCAAATACAAATACTAACCCAAGCCCCTCCATGTTACACTCTCAGTTCTTCCCCTAGAGAGATCATGGAAAAGAAAATGGTCCTTCCCATGGCAAAAGCAGTAACCTAGAACATTCCTGGGAGGTATCCAGACACTATACTGATCCTACTGTATGTAGAAGAAAATAGCTTATCATTCAGATTATGCTCTTGGGCAAAGCTGGATAGCTTCAAGGACAAGGGAGTTACCCTAGATCAGCACCATAAATGTTATTATATATGAAACAGCTGCAAGATAAATTCTTTCATATTACACATAGGTACAGTTTTACTTTCAGCTGTCTGACTGTTGGAACACTATGTCTTACACAGATTTCGCTATTTGTAAAATACACTTACAACTCTAAGTTGCATGTGAACGAATGACTCCTTATGGCTGCTGTGTGTTGAAACCAAATGGACTCTCACAGATCTGTGGCAAGAACCAGGCCACTGAATTCCAGAAATTCTTCATATGAATCCTTCTTTAAAAATGAACTAAGTAAATGGAAAAAATATTACTGAAGAAACATAACATAACTAACATAATGTCTGCTGTTTAAATGAATAGTGCTATTAAGAGAACAAAGCGGCTTCATCAATTCATAAGGAAGCTGCTTATGATCTTTTTTTTTTTTTGCATTCTTCACCTCCCTCTTATTTTTCCTTTTTTAAATCATCTGAGAGAAATCTTCCAAAACCTCTTAAAGGAAACAGTCTACAGCCACAAGATTTTGTGCTAATGAAGTTCCAGAATTAGGAAGCCAGAGATCAAGATCATGTCTTCTACAACATCTGGGCTAAATGAAATTAAAAGAAAGGGCTGCTTGACTTAGACGAGACAATGAGTAAGCGGGAGGAAGAAAAAACTGCAGTTGAAAAGTTTACTAGAAGCAGAAAACATTGACTATTGAGGAAATAGGTAAACTAATCTAGCTACTGCTGCCTCAACAGTCATATTAGTACTGACTGAAAAGCAGTTTATCATGTTACTTCCTTTTTCGATAACCTGCATCAAAATGTACCTACCCAATATCAAACTAAGCCAAATAAAGGAAAGTGGAGAACGACTGAGTGACATAGGCACCATTTCTGTTCTAGTTGCTGACTGACAAAACTGCCATCCCTTAACATGGTTTTATTTAGTTATTACAACCATCTCTCTGTAAATGACACTTAGGATTATTTAAGATTATGTTGTAATCCTTTTAATCCTCAGTGCTTTAAATTTCAGGCTAAACACCAAAGAGCAAACTAGCACTTAGCAGAAATATTTAAAGCACGTGACTTGAACATAAATCTTCTTTTATTCAGTACTCTTTTATTCAATGATGAAGACCTAGTGTATCACGTCATTCAACCAGCAAGAGCAAGCAGCACAGTATCTCACTTCAAACTGCTACGTTTCCCCACATCATGTGGAGATTTTCTAACCGTTTCTTTTCCTTGGTGTTAGCTATATCATCAATAAAATAAATGAAGGAAAACCACAAGTTTATGTATTATAGGATGTGCATATTTTAAGTTACTATTGAGGAAAATTTGAAAAAAAAAAACAACCCACATACTATGTTCAACAAGAACAGAAATAGATTGCATGCACAAATTAGATACTGTGAGAGACAGATCAGACTTATCCTGTTAAATAAGGAGTAGCTCAATTAAAATGAGTAACACTGCTGAAAACCTCATGATCAGCACAGGAAACCCAAATCTTCTTGCCTGAATATCATTTACTTGAAGTTACCTCTCTTCTTTTTCCTGCATTGATCATATTTCCAATTAGTTTTCTTTATGATACTCCTATACTCCATCTTGTTACCATCCATTAACTGTCATATGCTTAGATTTTAAATTCAAGGTTTCCTTCTTTTTCTTCAAACCAAAATCTCAAGTCATTTTCTATTTCTAATCTATAATTCATGAACTCAAATTGAGAACCTAGCCTAAATGAAACTTAAAATTCCACATCTACTAGTACAACAGGTTAACTGAAAGCAACCATTATTGTATTTGAATCAGAAAATAATAGTTTACTATTCAGAAAGTAATGAAACAAAACCCCACCAAACCATGTCCTGTTGCCATGCTTTAAAGATATAATAACATTTACTGCTGATAATTTCAAAGTTAGGTAGCTGAAGTATTTAATCAAATAGCAGTGCAATGCATCTATATTTAGATAGGGGAAAAAAAAAATCACCCATGTTCTTTTCATTTGAAGAAATCTATGAATAAGTAAACATATATTATCAATCTTATTCCCACCCACTAGGGATAAATAGATCGTCAGAAGTGTTTCCTGAAATATTCAGTACCCAGGTACAAACTGACCTCTCCGCTTTCAAACTCGCCTTGGATTCCCTCCAGACTATCTCATAAATCTTCACTCTATCTCCAGTCCCCTTCCCACTCTATCTGCTCATGCAGTACTAGTCTCGTTCAGTCCTTTCCTCTCCCAAAATGTCACCACTACTGATGCCAAAGCCTTCTCCTCTTTCACTCTTACCATCTGGCAGAATCTTCTTGTAGCTCTCTGTCTAAACAATGCTCTATCCCTTTTCAAAATGTGTCTTAACATATGTCCTTCCTCCCATGCTTTTACTTCTTAATGTCTCTCCCACTCACTTAGTGGCTTGATGAAGACACGTTTTAATGGGTTCAAGCAGTAGTGCATGAGTTTCCTTTCTCACATTATTCTGATTCAGTGAAATTAGACCTCACACTAACAGAAGTGAGAAGAAAATGCATTGCAAAGTCTTCATACAACCAGTTTGATAAATCAATAACAGAGCTTCATTTGTCTTTACACTGGAAATGTACTAGCTGCAACGAATCACCAATCCAATATGTATTTCCAAAAGAAATAAATGTTGCTTACTGCAAATGAGAAATAAACCTTAGAAGCTCAGAAGACTTCTCAGTGTTCTCAGGGGGTGAAAGAGTGAAAGCTAAGGATATACTTACTCACATTCCAAGTGAAAAAGCTGAAGATTGACAGGAAAACCAAAATATTTATTCTAAAAATACCTAGGAAATTACAAAGCTCCAAGTGTTGTCTCAAGACAACCTGAAGGATGTGGGGGGTATAGAAGCGTAAGTCTTACTGTCTTGAAGAAGCAGAATACTTCTATATATTTCATGTGCTTTAGAAAGATGTTTAGAAAAATTAACCTTAAAAAATGTCTCTGTAACACCCAGTCAACACAAAGTGGTTTCTTTTCAAGAAGGCGTGTACAGTCCCTGAGGGCAGTTTTTTTGTGTGTTGAGTTGGGTTTTTTAAAAACCCAGACCCAGGCACAGTTGATTCCTCCAGCATGTTTCATTGGTGGTGATGCCAAAGTACAATCTGGTAACTAACAGTACCTTGACCCTGACATGCTCCCTTCTGCATCTCTCCTCCCTTGATTGTTTGTATTTTTAAATATTCTTAATGTTAGAACTCTGGGAAACAACTCAGTTCATAATAATATTTTGATGCGACTTGATGCAGCTTCTAACAAAAAAAACAGCTTTCTACTAATATTCATGGGAGATGGAGTATGTCCAAAACCTGAAGATGTTGAAATAAAGTATTTTAGCCTGGAATGTTAACCTTGCAGTAATGCTTTCCTTGTCCTTTTATCTTCTTGGGCCTTGATCCTCCCTTTCAATTCAATGAAATTTAGATGAACTAATTAAATAAAACTATTTTCCAAAATGAGGAATAGTCCTATGAGAAATACATGTCCTTCTATGCTGGCCCTGACACAGTCAAGCTTTTAAAATCCTTCTCTTCCAGAAATGAACCTGGGTCATCACCGTCTAAGGACCCTGAACAGCAATAAAAATAAACAGAGTAACCGCACTGTGCTGGAGCAAAGCTTGTATAAGCAGTTTGAAGAAGTTGTGTTTATGGAAGTTCTTTAGGTCAAGATTCTAGGCCTGAACCCAAAGCAATTATCTACTAAGTTTTAAAAACAAATTGAATATAGAGCATTAATCAATAAATCAACAGGTTCTCAAGTGTTTAGAAGACTCAGCTGTCAGAAATCCTTCTCTTAGAAAAATAGTAAACTGATGCTTGCTAAAATGTTATTCTCCTGTACTGGTAAGAAAAAAGCTGTATTAAATCAGTCTCTAGTTATTAAAACCAAGAAAAAGGAAATAAAGCCTCTTAATTTACAGAGTTTATACTTAAATGAGCAATGAAAATCATGCTTTGACTCTTACCTGAAAGACATTCTTTCTGCTGGATTTCTCTGAGGTCCACTCAATGCAAGCACCACACAAATCCACGCACTCAGGTTTATATCCTGGTTTCTGGAAAGAAAAGAAAAAAAAACCCAAACCAAAAATCAAAACCCACAACCATGAATATGGCCTGTCTTTTCAGAAATGGGAGCAGTTATCAAATAAAATAATAGATCAACTTCAGATGACATATTATTGTCACATAGCTGCTGAATTTACTAAAAAGAGTTTATTATTCCTTGGTATTATTGAATAGCTACTCCTGAGGTGTCATAACTCAGAAATAAGGCTCTTATACTAGATACATAATTTTAAAAATAATTAAATGATTTAAAAAACAGTCTAATGTAACATGCAATAAATCAAAACAAAATGCACACACATTGACCAGGTATGCTGGTCAAATGGCTTTTTTGCAAAACCTCTTGAAAAGGTTTTGAGTTTATTTTGAGTTTAAAGGTAAAATTTTGTCACTTTCCAGATTCAAATTTAAATTGATGCAGCTGGAAAAGACAGAAACTAAGCAAGACACAAGACATACATCGTATCTGTAAGACAAACTATCTTTAAAAAAAAAATAAAAAAAATCATTTCTAGCTCTTAAAAAGAAAAAAAATAAAAATAAATAAAGGCTTTGAGGGCATGTGTGACACCCAAAAAGAAGCTTAACACTAGGGAAGCTCCACACAGTTTGCTACTTCACAATGTCAGTCTGTGCATCCCAGAGTGACACAGCTCTGCCTCCCCAGCTTCTCCGGATGGATGCAAATAATTCAAAGAGCAGATTTGTTTGCCTGTATCATTTACATTGCTGGGAGTTGGTGTAAAGCACAATAATCCTCATTTGCCATCTAAGCTTCTTCTCCAGGGACTCTGCCGGTGCAGCAGTTCTGGCAAAGCCCATCTAGTTTAGAGTAGTCTTTGTAGATTTTGTTACCATGCATCCCAGACGACAATAAAAATACTCCTGTTAAGAAGATACAGCACTAAGAAGTCTCTTTTGGGTAAGATACAGAGTGATATCCACATAATGTAATTAATCAGCTTGATGCATCTTTTTTTCTCTGTTGTTCTTAAGCCATTTTACCTTTAAAAATGACATTGCTAATAAAGAAAACAGACTTAATAGAAATTAACAGTGGCTAGTCCAGTATCAACCACATAATCAGCTTTCCAAAGATTGCTCATTGAATTACTCTGATGCTATTATTAAAGGCTAAAAAATGTGTGTTCTACAGAATGCTTTTGAGATGGGTAGAAAAGGACCTATTTAGGTTAAAAGCAACAGAGTAAGATACCCTGGTCAAGCAATTTGCAGCCAGAATCTCTGGCGGTTTTCAGTATTGGAGCTGTAATTATGTTCTCCTTTTGCCAAACCATAAAACCACTATGGTTCAGTCCCATGTGTCTTTGCTTCTTTTTAATTATTTTTTTTTAACAGGAGCAATATGCCGTTCAAAACAGAAGGATGCTCTTGTGCTTAAACCACTGGAAGAGCAGGGGTTGCATTTTGTTCCCCCAGCTGTGCCTCAGACTTCCTGCCTGACCTCCAACAGGAAGTTAATGTTTCTGAATTTTTAATAACATACATACTTGACTTTAAAAAGGTGTTGTGAAATTTCATCAGTTAATATTTGCCTGGCAAAAGAGACAAAGTTGAAAAAAAAATGTCCCAGACAAACACCAGCCTATTAGCACAAACAAATATTCAAAGAGCAGAGGCAGGGAACACATGGATTTTTAGTATTCCAGTACTATACTTTTATATAAAGGGCTATGGTGTCTCCTTTGACTAGATCACTCTCCTTGGGCAGGGTTTACCCCAAGGAAGTTTCATCCCCATGTCTCCACACAATGGTCAGGGCTGCACTGCACAGAGCAGGCAGCAGTGTAACTCATCCTGAACACGCAACACAGCCTCGTCAAAGAGGGCTGCCTTGCTTCATTTGAAAAAAAATTGCTCAAAAGGACAGTGTGAGTCTGAAAATACTTTGACAAAGAAGGACAGCTTTGTTTCACCAGCAGAAAGAGTTGAGAAATTTTGGAAACACTTAATTAGATGAAGAGATTCAAATGTACACAGAACACAGAAAAGTCTCCAGGAAATAGTTTCTTGATAGTGAAGGATACTGGGCTACATATTTTCCTTGGGAAAGCTGCCATGGCATTTCACCGGAGTGAGAAAAAACAGTGGAAAGCCCAGGGAAATTCTGCAGAAAGATGGAATAGTGAACTCTACAGTACTTTACTATCTGTAGTTTCTATGACTGTACAAAAACTTACGCAGCAGCAGAACTTGGGCTTCTTCATGCACTCAGTGCACACAGTTTAATTTTGTTGTTGTTGTAATATGGAGTTTGTTTACAGCTTTGATTTTGCAATAAGCAGAAGAAAAGTATGAGTACATGCATCTCCCTCTCCAGAAAGGGTGGGATGCAGGCTTAATCTTAGAAAGATGGACATGCTTTTGCTATGTACAGTAATCAACAGGAAAACTTCTTTTTTTATAGAACTTAGCAATTCTGCCCACAACAGAATATGAAGTGTCTATGAACATCATATGAGACTCATGAGTATGGCACAGTATGTGAAACTTCTGATGAAAACTACATGCAAAATCACTCAGATCCATCAAGCCTGAACCTGTCCAGGGTGCACATCAGCCTTTCCTACTGCACCTAGGTAGGTCCATACAATGGAAGACCTGCTTAAATCTGTAGGGATCACAGGAAAGCTGACTAGAAATTAATTCTGGCCTAAACATAGTCCTGTTAGCATGTTTTCCAGTTTATGCATTACCCAGAGACACGGCAAGAAAGTTAAAGCTCCTGGGAAAGCCTGAGCACTCTGTATCCTTGCTTTGGATTTTGCAGTCAGAGCAATTATATCGACATTGTCGGAGAGGGGTTATGCTCTAAATTGTTACAAGTGTCTGCTACAATGAAACCTTCCTAAACATGGATATGGATTTCAGTAGCATTTTCACTCACTAATTTACTTGGGCTAATAACCAGAGGTTAAAATAACCTCTCTTGAGTAAACTATCTCAGGAATAAACAGACTACTTTCACTTGGTCACAAAGACCAACCAAGAATTTAACATTGGTAAGAAAGACTGATGCTGTGATCTGGTTAGATCACAATGTCCTTAATTTAAAATAAAAAAGTTATATTCATATGAACGCTAAAAATGTATATAAAAATGTATATAAAAAGCATGACCGCAAATGAACAGGCAGCAGCAAAAGATAATCATTAGCTACATGGAAAGCAAACTTGCCTTTTCAGTAATATTTGTAAACAATCATTTTCTGAATCTCTCCTCTGTGTGCTTTAATTTTTGTGCTCTACTATTACTAATATTAATACCAGATATTTCACTAGCTTCACCAGAAAGCTATGGATCCCAGTCTTCTCTGTGCAAATCAATAGGAAACTTGTTATAGTGAGTCCTACCTCCACAATTGTACAATGGAACAACAGAAACTCCTTTTAGCTATTACTAGGTCTTTGCATTAGAATTTTATTTAAGATTTCGGTAAATATAATTTTAAATCACTTCTAAATGTTATCCTATTGTCAGAAAAATAGGTATATTAGAATGCACTTTCACTTCCTGCTCTCCTTTTGCCTCTATTGTGAAATATCATTCCTCTTATAATAATGACTTATTCTAAATTTTCACTTCATGTACAGTATTTAATATTTAATAATGAATGAATTAGTATCTTTATAATACAAAGGAACATTAATCTTTTTGTTAAGTCACGTCATTTTCCTGTTTACAATGAAAATGCTTTGTTGTAAGTCACTATCATGAATGAGCATTGCCTGTATTACATGATTTAACTAATGGTTGAGCTCCCCTTTATCCCAAGTAAACTACAGTTGAAAAAAAAAAAAAAATCAGTAAACAAATGATTTCTAATGAATCATTTTTGCATTATTTTCTTTCCACTATCAAAATTATATCTAGTTAAATGGCTTACAAAGGAGGTAAGATTTACATTTACTTTTTCAGATGACCAACATGCTCGTTTAGCTTTTTTTGATGTGTGAATTTTGGGGGTTAAAAAATTAGGTTATAAGATTTTGAATACTGACAGCTCTTGTTTTTTTCAAGCTTTACTTAATTTGTTTCTTTACCATTGCATGTAAGTTATATGCAACAGACAGAAAACGTATTTTAATGGCTTTTTTCACCTAGTGAACACTGAGTTCACAACCCCAGTGTTCAGATTTAACACAGAATTAAATAAAAATGACCCACTTCCATATTTTTTCCCATAAAGAGCAAAATATGGGATCAATATGTCTGTGTTCTTCCTAACATAGGAGGCAGTAGATATTATCTTACCAACTGTGAGCATTGGTGATGACTGGGACATCAGGGAAAGGGACTGACTTCTCATAAATTTTTGAGTTAAACAGATTGTGAACTGGGCCAGAGTCCCATCCTTCAGGCAGGTCTACTTTAGTATCTAAAACCTTAAAGGCCTAATGGGGATTTTAAACATGTGTAGGAGTCTCAGAACAAAATCATGTCTTCTGTGTGCTGAATTATACTTGTCCATTTATCTCCTGGGATTTGGGTGAGGGCTTACAAACAGAGAGGAGAAGAGGTAGCACACAGAAGTGTAAGACACCTGGTAAATTCTAGGACTAGCTCTAATAAATCCATTTGTGATTTTTTTCAAGTAACATATAATTAAATATTAAGGAAAACAATTCTGAAAAAATATTAATTCAATATAATGTTTTAAAGGCTGCAGAAAAATTGTATTTTATAACTGTACTAGCACAAACACAATCAGAAAGTTCCAGATTTTGCCCTTTCTTTTGTTTTAACTATTATTTTATTTTTGCTACAACCCTCACCTTCTTTCAAAATACGTGAAAAGGTGTTCTTTAAAGCTGATTTTATAGCAGGTGGAATTGGTAGATCAAGAACATATAGAAGAAAAGATTTATATCACCTGCCACAATAAAAATAGCCTATTGTTTGTGACTCCTGCCAAAAAGAGCACCTTTGTGGCCACCCATCATGCTAATGATATTTGGCAGGTTTGATCAGTCCTTGAGAGCCTTTCACAATAGGGCTTTGTCAAACCTGTCTCTTTGCTGCCCACAGTGTCATGCATTTGCCGAATTTCCCTTTTGTTGCCCATATTCAGGTTCATAGGCTCAAACTCAGCAGTAACTAATACTGAAGGGATACATGCCATTATTGCTTGCACAACGTAGCTGTCACATCTCTGAAGACTAAGATCCGTGGTCATTCCTTGGGGCACAATAAAAAGGTACTGCAAATTTCACATTGTAGTAACTACAGGCTACAGAAATTGCATTAGCTGCATTAGATGGAGTCATAGAAATATTCAGAAAGGTTAGCAGGATATGGTAGATGTCACATTTATACTACTATAAAAAATCACTTTGCTAACTTATAATGTTTCTGCTTTGGTAACACCCTATATTAAGGTGCCATTTATAAATCATTTATTATTATTTATTAATGTATAAGCCACTTTATGAGATGGTAGATAACAACTTAAATTCATGTATTAAAGATGCAGATACATGGTTTAATACAATTTACGTCTCACAATATCCTCTGCAACAGATTCTCATCGTATCGTCTGTTAAGCATTTATTACTAATGCATTTTATAACATACTTTATAATACATTATTTGAGGAAGTAGCTGCATTTAGTGATCATTTTCATAAATAAGAATAAAGCATTTATAAATGGCACCTTAATTTAAAGTATTACCTTCACATTACTGAATAGTCACTCACTATTTGTCTCACTTTGCAACTATTCTCAAAATGTACCTCTTAATAAATGACATGCTAAGTCCTATTTTTTATCATATACTACACCTGATTAAGAGTTTATCAAGGAATATTCCTTCAGCTGCTCTCAAAACTTTGAAGGTTGCCAGCTCAATCTGAATTTGTCTTACGTATATACCAAACTATTTATACTGAAATAATACTTGCAAGGAAGCTGAGTGTATCAGATGGTTGATTGCTTACCAGGTTGGCCAGGGCTGGCTGCTTGGATTCTTTATAGAATTCCATTTTCCGAGCAGTGAGAACAACCCAGGATGTGGACCAGTTTTTCCTTAAAAATAAAATTAAATTGAAAAAAAGTAAAAAATCAGTAAGACATGCAAGCAGGAGGTAGACACTCCATTTGTAGGCTTAGTTTTTAATTATTTCATGTCAGAAACAAAAATGGTCTAAAGTCAATACCAGCAATGCACTTCAACCAATATTGATGGAATTGCATCATCTTAGATATACTTGAATGTGGCCTAGCAAAGCTTGAAAACATTTCTGTTCATTCATGTTTTGAAGCCTATCTATGTTCCTTTTTCAATATGGTGCCTTAACTACAGGAAAACAGCGAGATTATTCACACATGCTTAAATTTAACATGTACTTGGAGGACTCCAAAATAGCTGGCACTCTTCTGGTAGCTAATACTTAAAATAGAGCCAGGAAGGAAAAATGTAATTTTGATCTGACTATACAGAGCTGTCCCGGGATCAGCTGTAACAGTTATTTTTTCTCCTTCCTAGTAGCTGATGTAGTGCTGTGTTTTCGACTTTAGTCTGAGAACAATGCTGATACACCAATGTTTTTAGTTGTTGCTAAGTAATGCTTACCCCGATCAAGGACTTTTTAGTCTCATGCTATGCCAGTGAGAAGGGGCATGGAAAGCTGGGAGGAAACAGAGACAGGACACCTGACCCAAACTAGCTAAAGGGGTATTCCATACCACAGTACATCATGCCCAGTATATAAACTGGGGGGAGTTAGCTGGAAGGCCCACGACAAGAGCTTAGCAAAGGGTTTATTTTGAGAGGTCCCAAATACTTTCCACTTTCCATAAATAAAAAAAAAAAATGTAGGAAAGCAAGGAAGATAAAAATGCTATCTGAGAGAGGTTTAAGCAACCATTAAACATCAGGACCTCACAGTACGGCCCTAGAGAGCTGTCAAACTGCTGGGGCCAGGAAAAAGTCAAAATGCACATAGAAATGTGAGACACTTTACCTGATGCAGAAGAACATAATAATCTACTCAGAAGAAAATGCTATTATATATATGATATATAAAGTGATGTTTCAAGCCACCACTTAATCATAAACAAATGGATCTGATAGAAAACTATTTTTTGGTCATTATCTCAAGTTTGACTTTCCTATTTGGGGTTCATAATATCCAATGTGTGCAAAAATACTTACAAAGCCACTATTTGTTTGTTTTACATGAATGCAAATCACAAATCTGTACATTTTAGAACAAACCTGAAAAAGCATGTGACAAGCAGGCTGTTTCATGTACATGTTTTGGTGCGTTAAAAGTAGGAAGCTGCCTGTAAGAACACAGAGAGCCCAGGGAGCTGCTTTTAACAACCCTTTTTCTCTCTCTCCCTCACCTGTCTCTCCTAGTCACTTTGAGTTTTCTCTATTTAGGTATTCCTAAGTAACTCAAACACACCCATTTTTTTATTCTAGCAAAAGTTGTCTTTATTGAGTTTAAAAGCCTGTTGGTCACCTTTGTGATGTTCACTTCCAGATCCATCTCACAGCTCTGCTGCACTCAGTATTCCATCAAACCTCATCAGGTAGATAGATAGTTTTTTCTATTAATGGCTTTCCTGTTCCATGTTTCATTATCAGCATAAGTAGCATAACCAATATTGCATATGAAGTCATAACACCACTGGCATTACCAGATGAGCTTGCACTTGCTGCACTGTGGACAGAATTTCAGCCAGCATGATACCATGATCACCCCTAAACTATGTCCAACAAGAGGCAACAGTGAAAGAAGCTCTCCATGAAGGAGATTAATACATCTGAAGAAAATAAGACTGCATTTTTTATGCCATGTTAATGGAGAATAAAGAGAGAAACACTCAGAAAAAGAAAGAAACAGAAGGGTTATAGAAAAGTACCTGGCCATCACCGACAAATATTTCCCCACAAAAGAACAGTGTCTGTAAGTCACTTTGAAATTTTTTAAATTCATTACCACTATAAAGCTATACTCTTTGCTAAATGTGAACTATGTTCATAGCTGAGGGTTTTGTATATTGGGAATTCAGCAAAGATCAACCTCAGGTTTTTTTTTAAGTATCCTTAGGAAACTTTAGCTTTACATCCTTCAGCTAAAATATCCTTAGGAAACTTTTATTCCTGTAGCTAAGAATCACTATTAAGGTAGTGAATACAAGTTGTCTACTGGTAAACACACCTTCAGTTATTTTTATTTTATTTTTTTTTTAACTCAAAAATGGTCATTCAGTTTCACAGGGGAGTAAGTGGCCAAACATGCAATATACAGGTTCAATTTAATTTTACTGTGAGTTGGATAACCTGAATAAATATGGATTACCAAGGGATTAAAACCCTTGGGACACAACCTATATTCAGTACCCAACTTACACCAAATGCTTGACCTTAGCTATGGAGAAAAACATTTCTGTGTCATGGACACTTCCACTAGGCAGAGTGCTCCTTGCTCCAGCTACTGGTGTGGTAGGTTTATCTAGCTGAGAAATTCAAAACAGTAAATCTATTTTGAGCTCCCATATTCATGTGCAATTTTCTTAAAAGATTCAAATTCATCAAACTAACTGTGAAGTTTGCTAAGATTTGAAAGTGTTTCATTTCAACCTGGACCTCATTAGAAAAAAAAGAAACACAAACCAAATCCAAAACCACAATAAAATGTGTTTCTATTTCTTGTTTTAAAATAAGAAGCCAACAATAAAAAAAAAACTTAATAAGCATTTTTAAAAATTGTGTCAGGTGAGATGTTTCACCTAAGTTTCATGCTGAGTTTTAAGGTGAAAATGTTTTAATTGAATCAGGAATAAGAAAATTTCGTGAGTTTGCAAGATACTATAGGAATTATAAAAGCTATGAGAATGCAACTGAATTTCACTATAGTATCTGCAAGAAGACTTTTTTCCCCTAAACATTACTCTCACAGTTCTTTTATTCTATAGCTCAAAACCTCATTACTTTTATCACCTAAAGATATATAGTATATAAACTAGACAACTTTTTATCAGATTGTCCATAAAGACGTCCTTGGATTAACAAAAAAGAAAAAATAAATGGGGGAAAAAAAAAGAAAAAAAAAAGGCACAAGGGGAAGACAAAAAATAAAAGAAGGGGGGTATAAGGTACTTAAAAATATATTAGTCTCTACACAGATCTCAGAATAGCTTGTCAAAGTCATCTAGTTCCAACCCTACTGCCACCAGCAGGGACAACTTCCGTTAGACCAGATTGTTCAAAGCCCTGTCCAACACTGCCAGGGATGGAGCAGCCACACCTGAGAAACCTGGGCAGCCTCTGCCAGGGCCTCACCACCTTCACAGGAAAGAACTTCCTTATACCTAATCCAAATCTACCCTTTTTCAGTATATAGCCATTCCCCCTTGTCCTATCTGTACACGCATCTGTAAAACACCCCTCTCCTGCTTTCCTGTTGGCCCCTTTATGTACTGCGAAGCTGCTCTAAGGTCTCCCTGGATCCTTCTCTTCTCCAGCCTGAGCAACCCCAGCTCTCTCAGCCTGTCTCCATAGGAGAGGTGCTCCAGCCTTCTGACCATCTGTATTTCATAAGATATATGCAGTGACCTAAGGTTTTCAAGCTCTTTAGAAAAGCCAGTTCACAATATTCTAAGTTTTGCCGTGTGGCATCAAGATTTTCAGGATATGACTTCCAGATGCTAACGAGCAAGTTTAAGTGGAAGGAGATAAAATGCATGCAGAGTAGATGAACCCCCACTACCCATCCTCTCTCTCTATAAAGAGCCATAAATATTGGTATACAGAAAAGATCCAGATAAAGTTAACAAGGAGATTGTGTGAATTCACTTATAGCTACACCGTTAAGTTTGTTATGGAAAAATCACTGCTGGAGAGTCCCAGCGAGGTGCAACCCGAGTCTTGGGGGCTGCATCAGGAGCCCTGAGAGCTGAGGCTGTATTTGCATTCTGTCAAACGAACACCTGATGGCAGCACGTTATAACTTCAGTGGTGCTCACGATCTCTGAGGCTATTTTAAATATATGAGACTGTTCAGGAGTATTTAAAAGTACGAGATTCCTCAGGGCTATTTAAAAATACAAGTGGTCAAACGCTGCCTGCTTCCTGTGCCCAGCATAAGCCAGTGAGCAACACCAAGCCACGAAGATGCTCTGTGCCAGGGGCAGTGATGCACTGGAAAGGTAAGACTCCCTCATCATCTGGGCACAGATGATGCCCTGCTTATACATACTCTGTAGAAGCTTCTGCCGGTGTCCAGAGTTGGGAAAACAGTATTACTGTCTTCAGTGCCTTTTCCAAAAATGCAAGCTACACAACTTTCTGATAGCACCTAGCTGAAGCTGGCTTGGCCAAGTGTTTGTAATGTTCTTGCTTCAAGTGAGAGGTTGGAAGAAGGGATGTCCAGGCTCCCTTTTAAATGGACATTCTTAGGATCCTTATGGTTTAGAACTGTAGAGGTAAGACAAATTATTACTTGGCTCATTTCTACATGCAAAAATACAGTATTTCACATTAGTCTGTCATTGATCACACACAGTGCTAGTCACATCAGTACTAATCACTTACTCCTTTAAATACAGCAAACTATAGCAAATCCTTCCACAAAGACAGCATTAATACATTACTTTCAACACAGTGTTAGTAAGTGATAACCTTTTCTTGGCATCACAACAAGGTGGGTTCCTACACCTCATCCTTGACCTCTCTAGCACACACCTTGCACTTAAAATTTGCCCACTGGAAAATATATTGTTGGTTTATTTGGTGCCTTAAGGCTGTCCTTAATATGCATAATGTATAGAATATGGAGGTTAACACACACATGATCACAGCATCCAGTGAGCCAATTAGCTGCTGTCACTTGGTTTCTGGACTGTTATCAAACATTGGATTAATACTGAAACAGTGGCAATTTGTGTGTTAACAGCAATAGTAGCTATACATATTTAAACATGAATCACCGCTGAATTTTGCAAATGATAAATTCTGTAACATTCATGTATAATACCTTAATTTCTTCCCACCATCTGCTATTTTAGCTTTTAGAAGATATCCTTCTTTCTCCACTACCTGCAAGAAAGAAAAAAATATTATAACCATATAATTTGTTCAGATTAATGAATTCATTTAGTACACACATAAGACTCTACATCTAGCTAATTTAGTTTTGTAGGCATTTTGCCGCTAATTCTGTTTAGTTGCCTTTTTTTTTCCAGTACAGTCAGTTCTTGTGAAAATTCTCAAAAAACATTCAAAGGCAATAAGTACACAGAATAAACAGTAAAAAAAAAAGAAACCCACAAAAATATTCTATTAATTAGTTTAGAAGGAATTTATTGTAATGCAAGAAAAGATTCTAGCTATAAGTAAAAATTAGTTGAAAAGATATTTTAAGTAAATTATGTCAGTGTATAATTTCATTTATTGAGTTTCATTAATAGCTATGAGGAACACACTATACTTTTGTAGAAGCCTCTTGCTTATATTCTAGAGATATTCATGTTTAGGGGTGTTTAAGGGTAACCAGTGTCAGAGAAACATCAAATATCTGTACAACAGGAAAGGTTACATTGCCTTCACAGGTGCTGCGTTTTGCTTTGAGTCAGGACTAAATTAGGGCTCATGCTAAAAAGCATCATGCTTTTAAGTCATGCTGTCTTTCAGGTGCGGTCTGGTATTGGGATGCTCACCCCTCAACCCTTAAAAGGTTATACTTCATTGGAGTATGTGCATCCATGAGCAAGGAGAACTTGTCTTCAAATTCCCAGCTGAACTAAATGATCTCATAGTATGGTGCAGAAAATCAAACTAAGCAGTTCTGTTAATTCTTGATATACAAGCTGAAAGGGGAATTATTACAAAGGAAAACATAGCTGTGTTGCACATTTTCCAAAATGCACCCAAAAAAGACAAAGACCTTAGCTATTACCTATACAAAGCAGGATGTGGTATTAGCAACCTGATATCACCTTTGAAGATCCCATATGCTGCAACTGATATTACTGAAACCTGGTCCCTGTTCTATGGTGTCAGAACAGGCTAAGGACTCTGCCAGTATGCACAAGGCTGCGATGTTTGATTGTAGCGTAACAATTTTATGCTTGAGTTTTGGTATATTAGAAGCAAGTCCTAGGCTTGTTTACATTTCCTTCACATTTCTGACTCTTACCCTTGCAGACCAGTTATGAGTAACATTTCTCAGGGTTGGTATTGGGATCAGTGCTGTTTAACATCTTTGTCAGCAACACAGACAGTGGCATTGAATGTTACCTCAGCAAGTTTGCTGATGACAGCAAGCTGTGTGATGCAGTTGACAAATTGGAGGGAAGGGATGCCATCCAGAAGTACTTTGGCATAGTTGAGAAGTGGGCCCATGCAAAGCTTCAAGGAGTTCAAGAAGGCCAAGTACAAGGCCCTGTACCAGGGCTGGGGCAATCCCAAATAAATACAGGCTGGATGGAGAACAGATTGAAAGCAGCCCTGAAGAGAATGACTAGGTGTTTCTTGGTGGATGAGAAACTCAATATAACCCAGCAGTGTACACTGGCAGCCCAGAAAGCCAACTGTTTGCTGGGACACATCAAAGGAACCAGGATCAGCAGGTCGAGGAAGTGATTTTGCCACTGTACTCTACTCTCACAAGACCCCAACTAGAGTACTGTATTCAGCTCTAGGGTCATCAACATAAGAAGGATGTGGACCTCTTGGAGCCAGTCCAGTGGAGGGCTATAAAGATGCTCTAAAGGCTGGAGCACCTATGGAGACAGGCTGAGGGCTAGGTTTGCTCAGCCTGGAGAAGGCTACAGGGAGACCTTAAAGCAGCCTCCCAGTGTATAAAGGGGGTAAAAAGAAAGCTGGAGAGGAGTGTTTTACAAGTGCATGTACTGATAAGACAAGGGGGAATGGCTTTATACTGAAAAAGGGTAGATTCAGATTAGGTATAAGGAAGAAGTTCTTTCCTGTGAGGGTGGTGAGGCCCTGGCAGAGGCTGCCCAGAGGAGCTGTGGCTGCCCCATCCCTGACAGTATTCAAGGCCAGGTTGGACAGGGCTTTGAGAAACCTGTTCTAGTGGAATGTGACATAATTTAACATGCTTTAACAGGTAGCATAAGGATTTTAAAATGAAAAATATGCTATTTTGACTATTAAAATATCATATTAACAATATATATGTTTAATTATTTCTTAGATTTTTTTCTGGTATACAGCATATAATGAAATATATACAGCATAATTATCTGTTTGTACCTATGAAAAGGTCTGTAGGTCTGTGGACAATGATTTAGGCAATGTTCTCGAATGGCTACACAAGAATTAATGTATGCATTTTCTATAATTTGTGTTTATCTCATGCACATTCCTGCCATGAAGATGATTGGCATAGAAAACACAGAGAGAAAGTGTGTAGGGATTATTGTGCAAAGTTATGTCACTATTTATGTAGTAATGGATGAATGAATTATCAGAGCTAAAGTAAGACTTAATCCCCACTTCCACCTACTTTTTTGTTTTCGTTTTTTTTCAAATTTACTTTACATCTTTCAACATTTTCCTTGCCCTTCTAAACCTTCATCTTTGTAGCATAAAAGTCAGGGCATGGCCAGTGCCAGAGAGGTTAAATAACATAAGAAAGGTTTTTTTTCTTAATATTTCTTTTTATCTGGAAACAAAAACTGGGAGGAGCATTGATTAACCATTCAGAGAAGCTGTTGATTGATTCTCTGAATCAGACCCCAAATTGCACGCTTTCAATGTTTATGAACCACCCTTCCCAAACTGTTATTTTAACCAATCCAAAAATAAAAGCAAATATGATTTTCAACATCCAATCTGAATCACCTCTGTTCTCACCTTTTGGGAAGTTTAAACTTCGATGTGATTGCAGATGAAAAGGTTGCAACTCAGTCATATCCTCCCAATAATTGAATTGAGCTAGGTTATTTAATTCACTATCAAAAGTTGGACATATAAAATAACCTGGTTTAAATTACATAGCTCAAATTCACCATTTGTTATAAATTAAATGGTTCAAAATTGAACAGCAAAAATTACAAGGTCTTCTGTTAATAAGACCTTTCAGTGTTATGCAATTTAACTCTCATATATATATATTGCTTTAACTGAATAACCGCAGGTGCTGTCTTTAAAAAAAATAGCATGGTCTTCATTAATTGATAATGAACACAGTTTTTTTCTGTAATTAGTATAAAAAGCATTTATGGAATTACAAAACAACTTTACCACAAAGACAAATAAAAAGATTTCCAGTATGATCCCACTGTTTGTGTAAACTCTGGGGTGCTATATTCTCATCGCTTAACATCTGCTAATATCCCCTTTTCTGTTCTACTTGCTTTCAAGAAGATACTTCCAAGACAACTAAAATCAGTCTACAAAACTCATGCAAATGGGTGATATTAAATTTAAAAAAATTCCAGATATATCTTAATGTTCCTGCTTTGTTGTTTCTGTCTCCATAAATATCATCATTTGTTGTTAAGCTGCTGCCCTTCCTGCACCTTTTCAGTGTTTGAAAGATTGAGAAAATGACCCAAAATTCCCTTAAGAGTGAAGAAGAAACAAGAAAATCAAATTATTGTGTGGGGTTTTGTGGTGGTGGTTTTTTTGTGAGGTGCTTTTTTTTTTTTTTTTTCTCTTTTGGTTTTGTTTGCTTTTTAGAAAAATATTAAAGATGAGAGTATGCATATGTAAATATTTGAGTTTTTAAATAATATTTTTAAAAAAAAAAAGATTCTCTTAGGCTAACAGTATTAAAAACTATAAGGAAAAGTAATTATCACTATATCACATATAGGTTCTATAATTTCCCTAGTCACAAGAATTCAAACCTTCTGAACCTACCTAATCCTGAAAAGTTTGTGTAGGACAAAGTACCACTGATACCAACATTTCTTTGATGAATCTATATGTGCATATTCATTTTCTTTTAACAGAAAAACCTCCGTGCTTCTCATTCCTTCTAGATTTTTAAAATGTCAAGGAAAATTTTGTTATATTTTTTGATGACTTTTAATTATAAAACTGATATTCATATTAAAAATACCTTAATATGAGCAAAGATGGGACAAATACATGGTTGTATTCCTTTATACCAGGTATTAATACTGATGAAATATCAGTCTGGTACAAGTGACTTAACAGCAAAATCAAGCTATACGAATTGCCTTGTATCTTCTGAAATTATTCTTTTTATTGATTAATCATGTCCCTCAAATCTCTTAATATCTTGAGGCATCCAAAGCCTCATGTATTTATTCTTTAATAAAGCATGTGCAACATTTACATTACAAACATTTAAAATAACAAGAGTGATTTATGAGTTCTATAGAGCAATTGCTTACTGTGTGGTCCTGTGTACTAATGATATTTGCAAGTGTTAAGTTATGCTGGGAATGATTTCTTCTATGACGACTTCCCTAAAAAAAAAAAAAAGAAAAAGAAAAAGAAAAGAAAAAGGATGTAAATTCAAAGAGATTCAAACACATACAGGTAAAGATGGAACAACAAATCTAATTACTGGGCATACACAGCATGCATTGGATGGAGTTTTGGAAACCTGGTTACTTTCAGTACCATATTTCTGTGAAAACTGGTGTTCCCTGAGCCCTGTGTATTTGAAAAGTATAGCTACTAAGCTCTAAACATCTTTGGTATGAATGTGTTTCATTGTGATGTCACATTGGCAACTTTACCTAAAAGTTAAACAACTGATAACAATAATTTTAAATTATGACTTTTCCATCGTGATTCTCAAAAAATTTTTAGTTAGTTAGGTTCCATTTTACAGAAATTGAAAGAATGCTAATTATAACCTCAAGGCCACAAAGCAAGTCAATGAAGAAACTAGAAAATAATTGGGAACTATCACACAATATATCCAGTACGTTTAAACTGCTTTAAAGGCTATTTCTAAAATCTCCATGACTGGAAAGCTGTAGCCATACTGGCCTCTGATTCTACAATTATTCCTCAGTACCAAGTAAGTCCTGATCTCCTCCAGTTCCCTCTTTTGTAGGAGGAAGCCAATATAAAAAAAAAAAATTACTGTTTAAATTCAATGTCAATCAATAATAATATAATTTGGAATTGATATCCTGTAGAATTCAGTGATTATGTCCTCTTTTAAGTGAAGCCAAAAAGCAAACAACAAAATACAGTCTCAACTAGTTTCCACTGTATTCATCATACTGCTTTCTCTTTTTCCCTATTAAAACAGAGTTAACCAAAAGTAATAATGTATTCTGTTTATATTCAAGTGTCTGAATATAGAAAATGTTCTTAATTAATCCAGAGGGCCACACTCAAAAAACAGTTAAACATATTATGATCCCATATTTTTTCTCCACACATTGCTTTCATGTTTATTTGTAAGCACTAACATTTTTAAGCCTTGAAATCTATATCCTAGATATTGCTGTACTCTCCTAGTCAGAGATAATGAGCTTAATGAATTACCAGTTCTAAATTTAATACAAACATTTCAAAGACGGAGATAAAACATTCTTCACAATTCAAAAGTTTCTCTGACCTATTTATGAAGAATATCACTTAACAATTTCATTAAGGGTGAGTAACAGCTGGTGACATGGCTGTGTCCTAAAGTGTTTTTCTCTCTTAATATTCTGCATCTTAAGCAATCGAGCTTTCATAAGAAATACTTTGGTTAGTGGCAGTACCTCCTTTGGGGAGAAAAAAAATGTCAGACCACATTTTCTGTATTTTGCAATCTTGTTTTCAAGAGTGTCATGTTCCTGTTTTATTAGCATGTAGGGTAAACAAGAATGATTTGCTGATGCTATTGAGAGAACTTCTAAGATTACAGTCTTTCTGTTTAGATTTTGAATGGAACTTAATATTAATGCAGGCAGAGACATGTATATAAATTCAAAAGAAATTAATTCCATTTATCTTTATCTTTACTGTTCAACAACTCTGAAGTTTCTATAGTGTTCAAGACATACAACCAACTATTCAGGTCTAGATTATAGGAAATCTTTCTTACCCAGATCCCTCATTATAATTATTCCTTAACATACAGCAGAGCATATTGCCCAGTGATGTTTTCTAAAGTACGTTTTCACTCAACCAAATTAAATAAAAGACACCATCACTTCACAGTACGTATTTTAACATTCAGCTGCTCTCCCCAGGAATCATATGTGTCTGTTGGGAGCCCCATATGCAAGTTTGTGAAGTGTACAGCATCGATGAGAGCTTTTGGGCTGGTCTTTGGTTCAGTGATGAGAGTATTAGCAAAGGAAAAGCTCACATTTGATACATGCTAAAAAGAATACTTCAGAAGCACTAAATCCATCCACAACCAAATGACGAAAGGAAATAGTAAAAAGTATTATTTTTATAGTACTAGCAAATTATTAGTGGTAGTGTAATAAAAAGGCAATAGCAAGATTTCCAGGAACTATGAAATGAGTAAAAAAATTTCAGTTACGGATGATATTATGTGGTTTAAAAACCTCTTTGCTGTACACAAAGCAGAAACATTAAGAAAAACTGCATGCATAGAGGGAGAAATTTAATGTGATACTTTTGCTAAAAAGGCAAGAGGTTTTTTTTAGGGCAAAAATAAAAGAAATTGCGTTACTTTGTAGCTCAACAATGACCAGTCTCATACAGGAAAGTACTAAAGCTCCAAAGTCTGAATTTAGTTACACAAATACAATCAAAATCCACAGCTATGTAAGCCAAGATCAAGCTTTTCTAGAAAAACACTCTAAATATTTGGCTTACAAATGGAACCAATGGAAACTTTAATAAATTTCTTACCCATTTTTACTAGCCTTTTGGTTTAGTAATAGGACTTAAAAAAAAAAAACAAACAAAAATAAAACCACCAAAACCAGAATCAAAAACAGCTTCAAAAAATCCAGCAACAACGGAGGCAATATATTCTTTAAGACTGATTTTATAAAATTCCAGCAGGTATCATAGAAATTTGCTCTTAAATGTATTTTGCAAATATCGCTGAAGGAGCTAGTTATATCATTTCCTTCATGACATATGCAGTTCAAAGTTAAAATGTTCTTAGCAGAACCTGGGTGGCAGTTGTCAATATACTAGTTTTTCAATATACTTACAAGTTTCAATGATGTACCAGAATTTTCAAAGGGAAGTGTAGGCTCAATTATTTTCATTCTTTGAGTTTTTAATAGATAAACCATAAAGGACATGTTTTGAGATTATTTTTTTCCCCTCTATGGCTCCATTCAATTACCTTAATAAACTAAAGAAAAACCTAAATAATATCTGTCACAAGTCCTCTACCTCACCTCCCAGGATATGATGAAAGGCAGAGATTTACAGGAGAAGTTTGAGATCTTTTTTGGGGAAAGGCAGTTTATCAGCAGTTTTCTGATTTGATGAACATTCTTCAGTCAGCAACAATGTCACCTGCAGCATTAAAAATCCACTCTGCAAGCACTTGCAAGTCTGTGGGCAAGTCTTGTTTTGTTAAATTCAGCCTCAGCAGCCCCCCTTTCCTTTAGCTAAAGGGTATCCATCTCCTACCAGAGTTATTTCAGTATCTAAGCACTAATCCATCATCATCCTTTATACAAAGGCAAAGCCTCCATTACACATGCCTGGTATCCTGGCAAGATCTGACAACTGCTGTTTTAACATTAAAGAGAAGTACAATAACCCGATGTTTAATTTCATTTATTTCTGTGTTCCCATTTGTTTAAATTCTCCCTCTTTTTGTGGGAATCCATCATGACTAACTCATTGATACTCTCTTCAAATAGCATAGCATTGACTTAAAAAGAGACTTGGAGAACTTATTTGGATTTTATTTCCTATTACAAGCATATTTCTGACCTAATTAATCTAGTCAATTAGAAGCAGCATACTTCTTTTTGATTTCAACCAAACCTAACAAAACCAACTGGCATTTCTCAAAAGGCTCAGACAGGTTTTCTAGTGGAAAGCACAGATAAAAAAAATCATTCTGAAATCACTTGTATCCCTAAATAACTAAGATATCTGTAAGAACTTTCTAGGTGGTTTCTAAGATTATCAAATAAATGGTTCAGCACAGATTATTTCCTTACAAAGGTCACCTACAAGCAGCCTGCAAAAAAACATGGTTTGCTCAACAAAACAACACCTGGTGCAGCAGAGCTCTGCATTGAATGAGAAACCCTGGGATGACATCTACCTGCTGCGTTCTCCATCAGTCACTGTACTACTTCACCAAGAAGAAGGTTCTCATGGAGGTTTTGTTAGATTTCTACCAAAACCAAAATTATCATGCTGTTCATGCTTTGATCTTTCTTTTTAGGGGTCTAGCTTTTGTTTTGTTTCATCCTACCGACTGCAATCACGTATGTGGAGATTCCTTTATAAACACCCAAAAAAGAGAGAAAGCCCCTACTGTTGAGTCCCTACATGTTGAGCATGTTGGTCCGCTCTGGACCTGATCCAGCAAAGCACTCTGCAATGGGCTTAAGTGTTTTTCTGGACCAGGGCCAGAGCACTCCATTCTTTATAGGATCGAACTTACTGGTGGCAGCTTGAAAGTTTGCAATGAAAGTACAAACTAGTGACATAAACTTTAGTGAAAACCATTCCCTCAACAGACAAGGAGGGGTGATACCTGATTTAGTGACATCTGTGGTCATTTCATTCCCAGTCACATATTGCTGTGACAGCTCATAATTGCTTACACAGAGAAACTTAACAAAAATGTATTGTAACATTTCTTAATGGTCCCATTCCTTGAAAGACACCTAGGCAATGGCAAAAGAAAGAAAAATCCTGTAACATTTCACTGACTGCCATGCTCAAAATGATTTGTTTTGCTTTAAAGAGCCAGTCTTGAGCTGTATGGCAAGTCCACCATTATCTGCTGAAATTATTTGGAAACAACTCTGCTATGGTTTTTCTTCTGCTGTGAAAAGCACTGAGATAATCTGGAGCTCCCCATTCAGAGATGCTTTTCTGTCGTCTCAGCAGATAAGGGTTTTCAAACCATCCTCAAGAAATGGAGTCTGTCAAGGAACAGAAGAAGCAATCCCCTTCCTCCCTAACCCCAACCCACTGCTGCTAATGCTCTCAGTGTACTATAGTTCAGCAGAAGACCCTGTTCACTCCCAGAGAAAGCCCCTGTGTCCTAGTGCGCTCCTTGCCTAAAGCCGTAGCCACTCCTAACACCATCCTCCAAAAGGTTACATCAGAACCATATATTTGAGGTCTTTTTCGTCCTTGCTGTCCCAAAGAGATTTCATCAGAAGAAAAGCTAATAGAAACTACAAGTCATGGAATGTGACATTAGCGCACTCAGTTTTTTTTCTCTAAGGCCTGCAGGGAGAGATGCACAAAATGCAATTTCAGTCCTGCCCACACCAGCCCACATTTGCTCCTTACCCTCCATCCCCAGGCCCCTGAAAACTCATTGTGG